GGGATGTACTACCACTGAGCTATTGCCGTAACCCCTGTTTTTGGACAGGATCTTGATAACTTTCCCAGACTGACCTCAAACTTGTAATCCTCCTGCCTCAGCCTTCTGAGTTGCTGGGACAGTAAGTATGTGCCTTTGAGCCTGGCTCATCGTAAGTCTCTTTAAGAAGTAACTCCCTGAACTCAGTGAGGGCTCTGCTGAGAAAAAATGGGGAAGCCAAGTGGGGCACTGGTGGTGGGATTGAAGCATCCTATGATGTGAGCTGCTGATGAGAGATTTGCATTTATTGTCATTAGCAAGAGGGCCATGAAGCAGATAAAGCTTGAGTCCTATGATGAGAATCAGAGGTGCCCGGGCAGCTTGATGACTGGCTGTGCACTTGACCCTCCCTACCTTTGACTTCTCTTCTTCCTGCCAGCTACCAGAGATTCACGGACTGTTATAAGTGCTTCTACCAGTTGCAGCCTGAGATGACACAGCGAATCTATGACAGATTTATAACTCACCTGGAGGCATCTATCCGGGTGAGTGACAAGAGGCCCAGAAGATACCATTAGCTTAGTTTTTTTTTTTTTTTTTTTAAGGGGGGGGGAGAGAGAGAGAGAGAATGAGAATTTTAATATTTATTTTTTAGTATTTGGCGGACACAACATCTTTGTTTGTATGTGGTGCTGAGGATCGAACCCGGGCCGCACGCATGCCAGGCGAGCGCGCTACCGCTTGAGCCACATCCCCAGCCCTAGCTTAGGTTTTTATCTCTAGATTGTTGGTCCTCTGGGGGCAGTGACCCTACTCTTTGCCCCTCTGTCTTCTCAGCCCCTTCAGCCACCCTCTGTGCACAGCAGGCTACAGTGCCAGTCACCCGCCTCCTCCAAAGAATGTGGGTATCTTAAATGCCCCTTTCTCTTATTGTGCTGTATTGTAATTATGTGTTTATATGTCGTCTGCCTTACTGGGCCGTGTGTGCTCTGCAAGGGCAGGACAGAGTCAAGTTCATCTTTGTATCTTCAGTTTTTGGGCCAAGGTCTTGCCCAGAAGAAGCCAACTAATAAACAATCCAAAAAAGGCTACGATTCCATTCATGTCTTTAAGTAACTGCAGTGTCTCTAGAGAGGCAAGGACGGCCCTGTTAGCACCACAGTGTGAGGAATCTGGACAGGTGCTGAGAGTGGACATAGGCAGTGTCCAGCCCCCAGAAATGAAGGCAGGGAGAGAGGCTTGCTGCACGTTCTTTCTAAATGTTTGCCATATTATATTTTATTTCCTTTTTTAAATATATATATATTAATATGTTTATATATATATATATATACATATATATATATAAAGTTGTAATCAGACACAAAACCTTTATTTATTTTTTATGTGGTGCTGAGCATCGAACCCAGTGCCTCACATGTGCTAGGTGAGCACTGTGCTGAGCCACCACCCCAGCCCCTATATTTTATTTTCGTAAGTATAAATGTCACATGTTAGCCAGGCATGATGGTGCACTTCGGTAATCCCGGTAACTGGGGAGGATAAGGCAGGATGATCACAAGTTCGAGGCCAGCCTCAGCAACTTAGAAAGACACTGTCTCAAAAAGACTGGGGACGTGGCTTGGTGGTATAGCACCCCTGGGTTCAATCCCCAGTACCACGGGGGTTGGGGGGGGCAGAAATGAGCCAGAATTTAGTGTATTTCTACTCTGGGCTTGTCTAGTATCATTACAGTTTTTTCCTCCTTTCTCTTCAGGAGGAAATTTCAGAAATTAAAAAAGAAGGGAACCTAGAAGCTGTCTTGAATTCCTTGGATAAAATTGTGGAAGAAGGCAAAGACTGCACGGAGCCAGCCTGGTGAGAAAGGAGCGGGAAGGGACCGCACTTCAGCCTCTGGTAGGAGACTCTGAGGCTGACCCCATATCTGAGACACTGGGCTCTATATAGCCCTGAGAGAGGACCCTTTGACAGGGACAACACCAAACAATAACCAAAAACAGTTGAAATGCAGAGTTCCCTCCTGGGAGGAGAGCCCCAGGGCAAGTGCATGTTATTATCCAGGGGTTCGGGAGGGAAGTGGTTTGGAGGTCCGACTGAAGAGGCCTTTGAGAGGTCATTTCAGGGCCTGTTGGGCCTGTGGGAGGAAGGAGGGGAGGGACAGAGGACACCGAGCAGTGAAATTGGGAATCCTATGTAGATTAGGCTGGCCAGGCACTGGCTTTGAGTCATTGGTTTATTCAACACACATTTAGGGTGCACCTACTACACGCTAAATACTGTTTTAGAAGCCAGTGATGTGGCAGTGAACAAGTGACACTCTGCAAGTGACAGTTCAGTGGGCAGCTTGGTAGCCTGGAATACCATGAACCAGAGGAAGAAGTAAGGCCTTGAGCGCAGAGTGGAGAGAGAGGCCATCAAGACCACCGCAGCCTTCCACTACCTCTGCCCTCACAGGACCTCAGGCCAGAGGGGAGAGATGCCATTCTTGCGCTTTGTGACCTTACTTCTTCTTTTTTTTTAATATTTTTTTAGTTGTAGACGGACACAACACTTTTATTTCTTTTACTTATTTATTTTTGTGGTGCTGAGGATTAAACCCAGAGCCTCACACATGCCAGGCAAGCACTCTACCTCTGAGCTACAACCCCAGCCCGTGACCTTAATTCTTAAAAGAATGAAATTTTACAACTAAAAAAGAATTTTTAAGCCATGTGGTGGCACATGCCTAGAATTTCAGTGGCTCCACAAGTTCAAGGCCAGCTTCAGCAACAAAGCAAGACCCTATCTCAAAATAAAAAGGGCTGGGGGGTTATGTGGCTCAGTGGTTAAGCACCCGTGGGTTCAATCTCAAGTAGCAAAACAAAAAAAAGAATTTTTAGAAGAACCTACAGTGGCGCCTGTTCCCTGTGTGACCTTGCCTCCTTAGACCCTCTCTCCTTATCTTCTCACATCATCCAGCCTCAAGGTCTGGGTCCTCTCTCCAGAGGCTCCCCACTGGGAAGTCTCATCCTGTCACAACCCCATCTCTCCAGCTCCCAGCCTGATAGGGTGATACACAAGCAGGGCACATGTTCACAAGGACAGCGGCAGAGGCTGGGAAGTCACCTCTAGACCTGGCGTCTTGAAGATGGGGGAGTGTGTGTGGGAGAGAGGAGAATGTGGAGTGTGGGGTGGAAGGCTGGTGGCAGCGGGCCTGGAGCAGGCGGTGTTCCCATCAGGAGAAGGGCTTGGGAGGTAAGAGGAGCCAGCCCAACTTGGGACTGGGGTGGGAACATCAGTGACTTGGTTTGTAAGTAGAACCCTCCCACACATTGTCCCTCCCTCTCTGTCCCCCATGTGGCCCTTCAGGCGCCCCAGTGGGATCCCAGAGAAAGACCTGTGCAGCACCATGGCACCCTACTTCCTGCAGCAACGGGACACCTTGCGGTGCCATGTGCAGAAACAGGAGGCCAAGAACAGAGAGCTGGCCGATGCCATCCTGGCTGGGCGCAGGCAGTTGGAGGAGATGCAGCTGCAGGTCCAGGCCCGGCAGCAGGCCTGGCAGGCAAGTGTCCAGCCCTGCCTGCTTTCCCCTTCATCCCTGATAGGCCCTCAGAGATCCCCTCCCAACATAAGGGACCCCAGAGGCAGGAGGGGCCTCCTGTGGTGGTAGAGTCACATATCACTTCTGCTTGGATGTGTGCAGCAGGCTTCTCCCACCATAGCAGATGGGCTGCTGCCCGCCCTGCCCCTGCTAACCTCTAACTGCAGCATGGATTCCCTGCTGCCACGGCTGAGGCCCAGAGAGGGCAGAGGTGTGTCCCAGGAAATGGTGATTGTACTTCTCCCTGGGAACATAGACAGTATCTTCAAAATGTGCACACTGGAATGACTTCTAGAGCCCTAGTACATCTGGAACTCATTCTCCAGCAACAGTGTATGTCCTTTGAAGATGAACTTAATTTTTGAAAGTGGCACAAGTGACTGAGGATAGAAAGGGTAGAGTGATCAAGCTGGCTGATACAGCTGGCAGGCGATGAAATGGGGTTTTCAGTGATGAAAAGGGGTTTCTTATTGGCTCAAAAAAGTTAAAGAAATTATAAAAAATAAAAACAAAAAGTACTGGGGATGTGGCCCAGTGACAAATTGCCTCTGGGTTAAATTTCCAGGAAAAAGAAAAAGAAAATGAACTCTGCCCTGGGGAGGCCTAGCCTAGGTGTCCTTGGTACCCAGCCCTCTATCAGTACCCATTGAGTGGTAGACTTCCTGCCTATCTTTGTCCTAATGCGCCTTCCTGGGCCAGTGATGAGTCACATGGCCCTGGGGGAAACCCACGCCCCAGTTCAGCTCAGAAGAGAAAGGGTTTGGTTTCCTCATAGCCTGTGTAGCTATTCTCTCCTGCTGATTTCAGGCTCTGTATGGAGAACAACGGGAACTGCTGGCCGTTCTGAGGGAGCCAGAGTGAGGTGGAGCCTGTGGCTGAGAGCAGAGGGCAGTCAAGGTCGAGGGCTGTGGTCGGCATGCTGGGCCTGGGCGGGCTGCCTTTGAGGACAGCTGAAATGGTGCCAATCTCCAGGCAGTGATGGAGGATCAGGCCCGAGCAAGCCCCACTGCTGCAGTGCTGTGAGGCTCCCCCGGGGTCACACATACTACCTTCAGACTCCTCCCTTCTGCCCAGAGATGGTGGCCCAACGTGGAGTCTGGGCCCGACTCTTTCTCCTTCAGGTGCAGGCCAGCACCACCCCCAGCGCTCTCCTGCAGGCTGCTTGGCACATTCCCTCCCTTAGGGAATGTGTTTTCAATTTCACTGATTGTCCCCTTGCTGGCCAGCCCAAGGTCGCTCGCCATGTTCTCCCCACATCCGTAAATAAACATCCTCCACTGCACTGTAATCTGTGAGGATGCTTCCTTGCCCGGCGTCTGTTGGGCCAAGACCACTTCTGGGTCCCCAAGCTCCAGCTTCAGGCAAGGGCTTGGTCAGTCCAGGCTGGATAGGGCAGTTGTATGTGACCATCATGTGCCAAGGGCAGCAGAGCCCCGTTTTCACAGAAAGTGGGACACCTGGGTCCCCCAAAGTCAGGATGAGCTGTCAAGGGTATGTCACTCTTCGTCCCACCCTACCTTCTCTTTGACATTTGGATTAAGTGTCCATGGTGGAGGCCTCCAGGATAGTTGGGCCTCAGGACAATGTGACTCATGACTGCTTCTCCACTGTGCTCTTCTCCAGCCAGGGCCACCAGGACCGGAGAGGAAGGGGGACGGTTTTGGGTGGAGGGCAAAGCTTTTTGCCCTGGTATGGGCCACACCCTAGCCCCTTGGACAGAAGCACTGGGGACAAATTGGAAGACATCAGAGTGGCTCCAGCTTTTACCTCTTTCCCCACCAACAGCCCAAGCTTCATCTTTCCCTCTGCCCTCCTCTGCCCTGTGGAGCTGCGGCATTAATAATCCAGACGCCTCCGTCCTGCGCAGCCACCTCACCGAGTGCTGTGTGTATTTGTCAGAGTGGGCAGGCGGCCTCCAGCCCCGAGGGGTGTGAGTGAGGACACTGGTCAGCCGGGGGAAGGAGCCGGGCCACCCTTCCTTGCTAGGCCGGCTGGAGGCAGTGGCAGCTCTCAGGTGTGGGCTGGGGTTTTCAGGCTGGGACCTGCGGGCCTTCCTGGAGGACTGGGGGAGGCAGGTCCCTCCCTGAGGCTGTTAACCTTGGGGAGGCTGCAGGGGTAGGAGAATCGGAGGGTCAGCAGCCCAGAGATGCATTCTGTCTTACACTCCTCCAGGTCCTCCCTGCTGGGTCCCCTACCACAGTGCCCTTTCATACCTGGAACTTAGCCACCTGGCCTGCCCAGAAATGGAGAGGCTGTCCTCATACACCCAGCCCTACTGTATCTGTTGGCTTTGACTCTTGGACCTGTGCTGCCCTGACCCCTTCTGTTCCTGAAGCAGTTGAGTGGCCCACACCACGCCGGCCTTTGATGTCTGCTGGGTGGATGAGGCCATTGCTGGCACTCCCTCCCTAGGTTTGGCTCCTGCCCCGCAGGCAGACAGTGCAAATCATAGGCCTTAAGAGAGCTGGAGCTCTGGAGCCTATTTTAGACCTGAGCACCCCCTTCCTCTCTCGTTCCACTTAGATCCCAGCCAGGACTTGGGCGGAGGCTGCAGTCTCACAGAATGGAGAAGGGTATAGGGATCTGGACAGCCCCCTAGGGCAGGGGCCAGGGGTGATGTCAAGAGCCTGGCAGCCTCTGATTGTGGCTGTCCTCCTTCATCACTCCCAACCACAGTATCCTTTGGGGTTTGGCCTACAGAGCCAGGGCAGATGACCCCCAATTAGCCCTGGCCGCTTCCCCATGCCCTGCTTGACCATGTGGGCGTAGCCCCCTCATCTCTGGGGTGGTATAAAGAGTGCTGGAGTCAGGAAGAGGCAGACCAGTTCCAGCAGCAGTCCTGACAGTGCCAACGGACACCATGAGGACCCTCACACTGCTTGCCCTGCTGGCCCTGGCTGCACTCTGCCTCGCTGGTCGGGCAGGTGAGTACCCCCACTTCTCCCCTTTTCTTCCAGTCTGGACACCCTTCTGCAGGCCCACACTGTCCTTGTGGAGGGAGAAGCGGGAAGAACAAGCTACCAGAGAAGTAGGGGAAGGAGGATGAGGGCCCTTGGAGTGAGCCAGGGGTGAGCTGGGCACCTTTTCTTTGCAGATGCGAAGCCCAGTGGTGCAGAGTCTGGCAAAGATACAGGTATGGGCCTGGTAGGGGCTCCTGGCACCCCCTCTGCCCTACGCCCTTCAGTCCCATTCCCTGTCGCCCGCTGACTCCTGCCTGTCAGGAAGGCCTGCCTGCTCCCCTACTTATTGTCCCAAGCCTGGAACCACCTGACCCCTGCCCTCTTCTCCATGTTCCACAGCCTTCATGTCCAAGCAGGAGGGCAACAAGGTGGTGAAAAGACCCAGGCGCTTCGTGGACAATGGGCTGGGGTAAGTAGGAGATGCTGAGCAGGGCCCTGCACCTGCGGATGTGCTGGGAGGAGCCATGGTAGGGAGTGGCTTTTAATAGGGACAGACAGGGGGTCCCTCCTGGTAAGCACTCTGGAGTCCGCATGCAGTTGGAATAGAGGGTGAGCATATTGCATGAGGAGTGATGCCACCGTGTGGGACTTCTCAGAGCCCCAGCTCCCTACCCGGATCCCCTGGAGCCCAAGAGGGAGGTGTGTGAGCTCAACCCGAACTGTGACGAGCTGGCTGATCACATCGGCTTCCAGGACGCCTACCAGCGCTTCTACGGGACCCCAGCCTAGGTGTCTGTGCTGGCCGTGGCAGCCCTGCTCTGGCTCTGCGCCAGGACTCCTCCCTCGCCTCCCCCTCGGTCCCTCTGCCCTGCCAGTGTGGGCATCCCAGCTGGTCCAAAATAAAGTCCAGAGGAGGAATTGATGGGCTGTGAGTCTGTCCATTCTGTGGGGGAGGGGCTTGGCGGATGGAGTGGAGAGAAAGTGTCGCCTTCTTCAGTCCCAGAAAGTGCATCCCGAAGTCCTGTTTGTTTATTTATCGAAGCTGCTTTGTTCCAGAAAGCATGGAAGGTGGTTTCCTAAGGCTAACTAGGCTTCCCAGCTCTGGCCCAGCACCCCTCCCACACCAGTCCACTGAATCAGCCATGGCACAGCAAACACACCAGCCCCTGAAGGCCTGGACATCTTGAGTATTCAGCTGTGACCAGGACAGATTCATCACTAGGCAAAAAGGTGCTGGCAAAGAAGGTGCTACCTTGTTTTGGGGGGTGGGGAGCCAATGTGTGGCCCTTGGCTGGTTAATAAGCATTCAGGAAAGGCCTAGGTTAGTCAAGTCAGTTCTTCTGGGCTGAGCGGATACTTCGGGGAGCACCAGAGATGGGCCCGGTGAAAGGGCCCGACACTCCCTGCTTCAGCCCCCAATAGGGCCCGGGGGCAGCTCCAACCTGGACACACGCATCTCCTCCCATCTCCCCTCACAGACCCTCGGCACTTACCCCACTCCCTCCAAGAGCCCCTCACGGCCCTCGCACTCTGCCAGTTCCCTCCGTCTGTCCCTCCTCTCTTCTGCCCTCCCTCTCTCCTCAGCTACTCTTGGCTCCAGGCTCAGATGTGTCCCCACCTTATCAGGCCTGGTCTGGGCTCCACAGCAGCACTGGGTCCTGGTCTCTGCCTCCCTCCAGGCCAAGGTCAGGGATGAGTCTCACTGTTGCTTGGCCTGAGCTCCCCCCTCTGGCGGGCCACCTTGCAGCAGGGGGCAGGTCCCAGGGGCTCGAAGCAGGGAGGCTGTGAAGGCAGCAATGATGACCAGGTTCCCAGCCACTGCCAGGCCCAGGGTGGCCACTGTGCCCTGCAGGCCCAGGGGGGGTTCCTGGGTGGCCAGCCAGGTTCTGCGTGATCCCATATCAGCTAGTACCGCCTCCAGCTGGAAGTGGGTGCCCAGCACTGCACAGATGTGGAATAGCTGATGGCTGTGGCCTGGAGGGAGGGTGGGCAGGTCAGGCACACACCCATTCCCAAGGCTCACTGACCCACTCTGTAACCCAGGGCAAGTCACCTGTCCTCCTACTCCCCTGTAAGAAACCCTGACTCCCAGAATTGTTAGAAGGGGGACTGAGCTGATTTGCATAAAGCCCCTGCATAGTGTATTAGTTTCGCTGTTTCTGAGGAAGGGCCCACCCTTGGGCTGTGAAATCTCTCTACCTAGCTCACTCCTGCCCTGGGAAATTGTCTCCCTGGCCCCGTCCAGGGCCGGACGGGCATATCCTCACCGATATAGTCAAAGCGCCCAGGCGCCAGCCGCTCTGGCAGGTGGGAGGCAAAGAGGAAGCCAGTGAGCAAGGCACAGAGGAGATGGTAGCCGTGGCTGGTGCTCAGCGCCTCCTGTCCGCAGCTGTGACCCCGGCCCCAGCACAGCCCCAGCTGGCGGAGGAAAAGCATGGCTGGTGGAGAGGGCCTCTGAGCGGAGTCGGAGATGGGTCTGGGACCTGGCCAGGGTGCTGAGCCTGGAGAGCAGGGAGAGGGCTGGGGGAGACGGGTCAGGAGGAAGCCGGGCGGGCCCGGCAGCCTTACCCTGTAGAAGAGTGGAAGGTTGTCGAACAGGAAGGGATAGGCGAAGGCCGCCGTGCGGAGGACCTTGCTGAACCCAGGACTTTCTAGTTCTGGGAACCTGGGAGACACGGACAGGCTGGTCGCCATTCCTGGCTCAGGCAGGGATCAAGAAGGGCAAGGGGAGCTTGAGCCAAATGGGTGTCAATGAAGCTTACTGGCTAGGAAAGCCCTTAGGTCGCACGCCTCCCTATATAAATGGCCACGTCTGTAATATGGGGCTAAGGACAGGCTGTGGAATGAACAGACAGTTGGGCATGTGTAGGTGCGTAAGGGCTGGCCTGTGGCCTCCCAGCTCTCCTCTCCTGTCCCTCGGCCTGGCTTCGCCCTCGCTTCCCCGGGGGCGGCGCCGGAGCACCCACCGGGAGTAGCAGGAGAGGCCGGTGCACAGGAGGGAGTTGAAGGCGGCGGCGGGCACAAAGAGCTGGTGCAGGCGGCCGTGCAGCCAGGAGGCCGGCATGGAGTAGGCGGCGTAGGGGAAGGCGCAGCCTGCGGGGAGCGGCGCGGCAGGAGCTGAGGCCCGCGCGCCCGGGCCTCCCGAGGTCCCCCGCCCGGCCCCGCCTCCCGCCGCGACCCGCCGCCGGCTCACCCAGGCTGTAGAGGCTGAGCGCGCCGTAGTCCAGGAAGTAGCAGATGTGACGCGCGCGGGGCGACATGGAGCTGAAGGTGTGCGCGCAGCACGACGCGAAGGGGTAGAGGCAGGCGGGCAGCAGGAAGATGAGCAAGGGCCAGTCGTAGGGCTCGGCGCGGAAGCCCGGGCCCTCGAGCAGCGCCAGGAGGCGCCACAGGAAGTACCTGCGGCGGGAGGGCTGGGCTCAGGCCGCCACCCTGCCCCGCGCTCCCGGCCCAGGCTGCGCCCTGGAGCAGAGCGCCCCTCACCAGGTGGGCAGGAAATGGGTCCAGATGTTGACCGTCTCGTTGGTCATCTGGAAGGAGCTGAGGACACAGTCCAAGGCGGAGCTGGTGGGGCGCCGGTAGCCCGACATGATGCCGTCTTCCCAGAACACCTGGGGTCGTGGTGGAGGGAGAGAGGGGCAGTCACTGTGCCCTGCCCGCTCCGTCCGCCAAAGACCTCTAGAAGCCGGTGAAGAGGATGCGCACGACGTCACGGGTCCCCAAAGACGAACCAAATCTGACCCCCATCTTACATGGCCCCAGTACCCACAGAACAGATGAGAAACAGAAGAGCCAGGACGGGGGACAAGATGGGCGTGGAGAGGCCACAGGGCAGACTGGAGGAGTCTGAATGGGGGCGCTGTGGGCTCTAGGGAGGGGCACACGCTCTCCGAGCCGGGCAAGCCGCCTAGGAGGGGACAGGAGGACAGGAAACTGCTGCAGGGGGATCTCCTCAAGAGCCAAAGAAAAACGTCGCCCACAGTCCTCTGGGGAGAGAGGGTTGGTGGGCGAGGCCCTCACCCTGGGAACCTGGTGGACTCGAAGGAGCTGGGGCAGCTTGAGGCTGAGCATGGTGGCCCGGCAGCTCCACGTGGACCTGGAGATAGAGTGGGGGAGCGTCAGGGACCAGCCCATCCACAGGCCGCTTTCCCCGGGGCGCAGGCTAGACCTGGTTACTCAGCCCAGGACTGGGCGCCTGCGTGGTGGCTGGTGGCCACGGGCTGCTTCCTCCCGGCCAGGGTAGGCTGGCCAGGCTCCCTCAGGGAGCCCCACAGAGCCCTGCCTTTCTCACTCCCCACTGGAGAGGCTGTCAGCCTCAGCCTGGAGCAGAGGGCCCTGCGTCAACCCATCCCCTGGAGTCGGCCCCCTAGTGCTCTCTTGGCCTCAGGAAGGACCCTGACACCTGGAGGCCAGCGGAGGCTTGAGCGCCCCCTCCAGCAGAGAGCCCTGGTGCCTGGTAGAGCACTGAAACCTGCCCTGGGGGAACTCCCTGGAAGAAGGATGCCATCCAGTGGGCAAGGAATTGGGTCCTGGTCTTCTCTGAGGACTACACTTGTGCCCAGGGGATACTCGGGTCCCTGCCCCTCCTGAGCCCCAGGCCCCTCATCCCAGACCTGTGCAGTGCCTCCCGGTGGCTGCAGCTCTGCTGCCCCGCCCGCCTCTCAGGCTGCTTGTCCCCTGCATTCCTTGGCACCAGCCGAGGGGATGGGCTTGGAGGTGGGCGGGCACCCAAGAGGGAGAAAAGGACACTCCCCGTGTCCCCAGGCCAAAACTTTCCAGCAACTCCGCAGCCAGCCCCACCCCTCTTCCTGCCAAGTCTGAGCTGCGCGGGTCTGGGCCTCACCCAGGCCTCTACTTGTGTCATTCAAGAGTTTGGGTCCTCAGGGAACTGGGTGCTGAAGGTTGGGAACAAGGGTGCCTGGTCCCTGCGCCTCATGAACAGAAAGGGCTCCCCCAGGGTGTCGCTTGCCACCTCCTTTCATGGAGAAGGTGAGATGATACAGGGTCTGTCTCCCCTCAGGATCCCTGTCCTCAGAAATAGGGTTTGGAGCTCTAGGCCACGGAAATGAAGGGTCAGACAGACACTAACCAGGACACCACCTGGAACCCAGAAGAGGAAGGGCCAGGGCCCAGGTCTTGAGCTTCCTTACCCAGAGCTGCAGGGCTGCTCCTCAGCTGGTGGCTCCGCCACCCAGGGCTCCTCAGGCGGAGTCCCAGGCTCCTTCAGCCAGGCTGACAGGGAGAAGAGTGCCGGGGAGGCGGGCCAGGCCTGGGCGGAGAGTGGGGAGACAAGGGGGAGCCGGGGAACAATCCCAGCCTTGTCCAGCCTCTAGGGAGCAGCACGGGGTGGCCCAACCCCATTAGCAGGCAGCTCACTCGGCCTCCTGCAAACAGTGGCCCCTCCAGCAGGACCCGCCTTGCTGTGCAGACTGGCTGGGGCAGGCCCTGGTGGTGTGGACTCCAGTCCCCTCTCATCAGCACACCCCGGTTCCAAGTTGTTCAAGGAACGTGGACGGTTTAGTCTCAGGCCCCAAAAGGGGATCCAAATCCCTAGAGGGTTTTTTTGTTCTTTTTTTTTTTTTTGGTAGCAGGGTTGAACCCAGGGTGCTAACAACTGACCCAGCCTTTTATTTTTTTGAGACAGGGTTTTACTAAACTGCTGAGGCTGGTCTTGAATTTGAGGTCCTACCTCAGCCTCTGGAGGGTGCTGGGATGACAGGCGTGTGCCACTGTGCCTGCTCCAAACCCCTACGATTTTGACTGCGTTTCAGAAACGCCAACCCCTCTCCAGCCTCTCAGCACCTGGTGTCTGGGAGGTGCTCAGAGCAGACTGACTGTGGAGGGGCCACCTCCCCGCAGGGACGGATGTGCCAAGCTTGTTTACCCCCAAACACAAGGGTCATGTGGGTGCTGACCCTCGGG